AGCTCCCTCGAAGGAACCTGCAAACCGAGCTCCAAACTAAAGAGTCCCGAGCTCTCCCTTCGAGGTCCTGAGCATTACAAGGAGCACAAAAGGCAGAAAACCCGAACTACCTACCTAGGGGCAGTTCGGGTCATACTCCTATCCGAACTCGAGACTTCACATTAAAAGACCACTTCGGCTCCAAATTGCCTGACTGAGCAACCGTACCGACACCCAGGAGACCATACACGGTGGCAGCGCACCTGACCGATCAGAGGACTGACACATGACAGCCGCCATCCAACGGCCACCTACCACCACCATGCCAGACAGACAGAGGCGGCCTTGGCAACTGGCAGTGGAGGTTATGACACCCGAACTAACAACTGGCAGTGGAGGTTATGACACCCGAACTGGCAATTGACAGAAGGAAGTGACTCGATCTGGCAGAGGTAATGATGCCCGAACTGGCAGAGGCATGGAAGTGAGCACACGGGGTGATTATAAAAGGCCCCCATCTCACAAAGAAGAGGATATGTGATTCTTGCGTTTTCTAGTCTTAGAATTCCTCATTTCCCTTGCTTTATGAAGAACACTAACTTGAGCTTCGGAGTGTTCCAACCAGGTTCCTCTCCGGAAGCCTCCATTTTCTTCGTTGTTTCAGGCACCTCCGATCTCGTCAAAAGCGAGGTAACCGGTAACTAGGACAGACCAGATCACGCATCATTAGTACCATTTTTTTGGTGTAAGTGTAAAATATTGAATTGTATTAACCAAAAGACACAATTACAAAGACCCCTAGACACAATTACAAAGACCACTGTATACTAAGGCACCAAATATTGGGAATGTACAATAGGATCTATATGGCAGTATGCATTCCTGTTTACAGAAAGCACTTTACAAGAGGAAAATCCTCAACCCTCTGAAATTTTTATAAATAGATAGCCATGGCTACAGCCTTCCCACCAGTTTCGTTGCAGCATATCCTCTGAGATGCACTATGTTCAAAGATGTGACTGTTCCTTTTGACCAAGAGGGTCCAACAAACTGCCAAAGGAATCATGTTTTACGCTAGTCTGCTTTCTTACTTAACCCTTGCATATACTGGCTTTCCAAAACTTCCCTATCTTTGTTTGGAGGAAAGGACTTTTTGTCTAGGCCCTGTAGACATTTAAACCATACTTAGCTAAGAAGTCAGCAGCCTTATTGGCACACCTAGGTACAACCTGTATAACCTTATTATCCCCCTTAACATACTCAGAAAAAAGACCAAGCTCCCAACTAAAACTGAAGAGAAAATGGCTTCTGTTTTTAGAAAAATTGAGCTTAACAAATCCACCTATAGGTCTATTCCTAGAAAAATTAAAAGAAAAAACACCAAAAAAAATTGTGTAGTACACATCGGTTTGATTTGCATTAATCAAATCCTTCTATCATGTAAATAGCAAACATGTAAAGATCATGGAGAGATTGATTTACATTTGGGTTCATAGTCAATCATAGAGACCACTGTACCAAGATAAATCACTATAATTTTGTACAAACGCTACTGGTGCAAGTCTCTGAATACAAGCTGCTTCAGAWCGGAAAATATTAATCATCCAAATATTTACATTTGGATGCCGATGATCAGAACAAGGGGACATAAGTCCATCAACAACCGCCAAGATAAAGTCGAAGAAATAATTAAAGGAATGAGCATCATGACTTATGATGCTTCGTAGAATAACCCCATGGTTAAGATGATTAATCATGACTCATGAACACTTTATTCAAGACAAAACAAATGTAACTCATGTTATCAAAACATTCAAATGGATTTATGAATTTTGTTTTGTAAAAGAAATTTGAAAAGAGAAAAACTTCAATCATCAAAGTTTTCTTACTTCAGACAGAAATAGCGTTGTCCAGAGCTGGAGCGGAAGTGGAAGTTTCTTCACCTAGGAGGAAAACTGGCTCCTTCTATATCCTAAACCGGATGAGTGGGAGAAACTTGGATTCTTCGTAAATCTCTCCTCAAGGCTGAAACTTAAAAAAAAAAATAGTAAATCAGTGAAACCAATTTCATTCTTCAGCACTTCACTTCTTACAAAAAATGAGAGAGAAAAAGAGTGAGTAACGACATGAAGAAAACCTATTGGATTTGAAGTTTCAGTGATTTACGCAAATAGGGTTAAAATGTTAGATCTGGACATGGATGCATGCTTGTGGAGAGTGTGATTTTATTTCAGCAAAACCTTTGCTGTAGACAATGAAGAAAATGGTTGAGCTTCTAGCCACTGAGGGGAAAAACATGGGGTTGGGGAAGAAGGAACCATGGACCGAAAAACAACGGAAAAAGGGTAGAATAAGACCACTAGAGAGAGATATTCAGGGATCTTGTGTTACCTTTTAGAGATATGGCCGGAGAAGCTATCGGAGATATGGTCGTTGGATTGCTACTTTGAAGGGAGAGGAGACTGTCGACTTCTTGACAAATCCCAAGCAATTTTCTTAGCTTTTTCTTTTGGGATAATAGCATATAAGGGCAACTTTTGGGCCCTAAATATCAATAAAAGTAATATATTTTAAAAAAAATTCAAAATTAGGTTAACTTTTTTAAGAATAATATCAATTAAGGGTAAAATCAGTGTTCATCTTCTTTTTCTTGCAATCTGTTCAACAGTGCCGCCACTAGGCCGCCTCGGCAGCGCCTTCGGTGGCGGCGGCGCTGGTGGTCATTCCTTTGCCCAACGCCACCACCTCTGCCTCTGGCAACATTGCCGAAGGTGGGCGGAGACAGAGGTAACAATGGGCGGCGGAAGTGGCGGCGTTGGGCAGAGGAATGACCACCAGCACTGTTGTCGCCGCCTCTGCCTCCACCCACCTCCGACAACATTGCCGGAGGTGGAGGCGGAGATAGCCGGAGCGGCGACGAGCGATGGTGGCCAGCGGCTGGGGCGGTGGCGGCTGGCGGCGGTGCTATTGAACAAATTGCAAGAAGAAGATGAACAGTGATTTTACCCTTAGTTGATATTATTTTTAACAAGTTAACCTAATTTTGAAAATTTTTTAAATATATTACTTTTATTGATATTAGGGCCCAAAAGTTGCCCTTATAGGCTAATATCCCTTTTCTTTTTCCACCAGATTCACATTGTTTTGGTACGATCCCACTCACTTTATTTTGAGGTCTGGCATCCCTCTCTTTTCTCATATCAAAACACTATTTACCAACAAACAAACACAAAAAAGGAAGAATCATTCAAGAATATTCCCTTTTCTCATCATTTCTGACGCTTAAAGAGAACTTGTCATTCTACTTCTTACCGGATTCCCGTAATGGTAACCCGAGGCCTAAATACTAGAATTGGGCCAAGTTGCACTTGCAGCCCTGTTAGTAATAAACAACGAAGTTTATTCCCGCAAGCCTCCAATGCATTGCCTAAAAAAAGAATTGGGCCGTGTATGTTTCCATGCTTCGCGGGCCTTGTGATAACCCATTTCGATGTAAAGCCCTAACGATCGGATATTGACACACGGACCATAAAACAGTATTGGCCCCACTGTACAAACTTTGGTACGATGTGATCTTTAGGTCAATTAATGAGAGTATATCACACTAGCACTAGGGTTTCTCTTATCCACCATTGATTTCACACTCATATCGGGACAAGAGATCCTAATCAAAAGAAAACAACTTTTTAAAAAGGAAAGCAAAAAGATACGCCTCTAGATGCGCGATTGTTGTGGCCGTAGATTCACTATTAGCTTTCTTTTTCTTTTACCTTTTTTTATTAAGATAAAAAGATAAAAGATAGATTAGATTCATTCATGTCAATGATTTTCAGTCAAGTAATTTTTACTTCCAAGTTCCAACCAACCTGTTTTTCACAGTTTCCTTGTGCTGGTGGGAGTGATTCGGGCGCAATTACAATGGGTATGTAACTCCTCGTGATAATCATAGATTAGGATTAATCCACATGAATACTAGACCTGGCAATTGGGTTGGTGGGTCGGGTTCGGGTTGGGTCAATATACTTCGGGTTGATTTTGGGTCGGGTTGAATTTCATGTTGATTTTTCAAATACTAGACCCTAACCTTAAATGTTCGGGTTAGGGTTGACCTATGGGTTAATTTGGGTCATCACAAAAAAATAATTAAAATTAAAAAAAATAAAGAAAAATTACATGAAAATGTCAAAATTAAAAGAATTAACCTTAAAATTTTAAATATAAAATAAAAAACTTAAATATTTAACAATTTAAAAAATAAAGACTAAATAAAAAAATTAAAGAGTGGAAACTTCTAACAATGTATAAATAATCCCAATTAGACTTGATAATCGAATCAGCGGGTTGATCCATGACCCAACCCAACCCAATTCAGTTTTTTCGGATTGGGTCATTTTTACATTGGAGTAGCTAAATATGAGACCCTAACCCTCTTTTTTCGGGTTGGGTTGGGTAAACTTTTTGTCAGGTCTAATGAATACCCTATATTTTTTGACTTTTTTGATATTTGTTCGTTTCTATTTCTACATTTTGTTTCCATTTCCACAATTCGGGTTTGGTTCGATCTGGCCATCTCAACTCAAACCGATCTGAAAATATTTAACGTAATTCGATCTGGTTGCAGCATGATGCCGGGAAAAATTATAACCAATCAACCGGTATCAATTATAGGTGGCAACTGGCAACCGATCAGGTGGAGGTGGTATTCATGAAACTTTACCCATCTTTAAAGATTATAAAATGCCCAAACCAACCAAGCTCAGAATCTGGTTGGGTCGGTCAATTCCGCTTGACTCGCGCCGAGTCTAATGCGATAAGTCGGTTAGTAAAATTCGGGTACGCCAGGATCAATCCCAATCCCCATCAAATTTTCAAAATTTTCCACTAATAACGCACCAGCGGCCCACTTACGGCCCCCTATCGTCGGAATTTTGGAAACGACAAAACACCGTAAAGTCTAAATTGACTAAAGTGCCCCTGAGATGTTGTCATCCTCCTTATTTAACATCACTTTCCTCTCTCACACTCCCTCTACACTTTTTCCCTTCCCCTGCCTTTCACCCTCCACAAAGTTATGGATTCTCTCGCAGCCCTCTTTTGTACGGCTGTCGTCGTCGCCGGCGGCCTTTACTGGTTCGTCTGCATTCTCGGCTCGGCCGAGCAGAAGGGTAAGCGAGCCGTCGATCTCTCCGGTGGCTCCATCTCTCGCGAGAAAGTCGAAGACAAGTACAAGCAGTACTGGTCTTTCTTTCGTCGCCCGAAAGAAATCGAGACCGCCGAGAAGGTACCCGTCTTCGTCGACACCTTTTACAACCTAGTCACCGACATCTATGAGTGGGGTTGGGGCCAGTCGTTCCACTTTTCTCCTTCCATCCCCGGCAAATCCCATAAGGATGCTACCCGTCTCCACGAAGAGATGGCCGTCGATCTACTGCAAGTCAACCCAGGGGATCGAATCCTGGACGTCGGATGCGGTGTCGGTGGACCCATGCGTGCCATTGCCGCTCACTCGCGCGCTAAGGTCGTCGGCATCACCATCAACGAGTACCAAGTGAAGCGCGCGAGGATGCACAACAAGAAGGCCGGTCTGGACTCTCTGTGCGAGGTCATGTGCGGGAATTTCCTCCAGATGCCGTTCCCGGAAAACAGCTTCGACGGCGCTTACTCGATCGAGGCCACTTGCCACGCTCCGAAGCTGGAGGAAGTGTATTCGGAGATCTACAGGGTGCTGAAGCCGGGGGCATTGTACGTGTCATACGAGTGGGTAACGACGGATCTGTACAAGGGGGAGGACCCGGAGCATGTGGAGATAATACAGGGAATTGAGAGAGGAGATGCGTTGCCAGGGTTGAGGAGTTACGATCAGATAGCGGAGATAGCGAAGAAAGTGGGGTTCGAGGTGTTGAAGGAGAAGGATCTGGCGAAACCGCCGGCAAAACCGTGGTGGCAGAGGTTGAAGATGGGGAGAATCGCTTACTGGAGGAATCACATATTGGTGACGATACTGACGTGGTTGGGAATCGCTCCAAAGGGTGTCGTTGACGTTCACGAGATGCTCTTCAAGACTGCAGACTACCTGACTAGGGGCGGTGAGACAGGAATTTTTACTCCCATGCACATGATCCTCTGCAGAAAGCCCGAATCTTCGTCATCGTCTTAGGACCAAATATTAAACGGGGAGGAGGTATTACTTCTACATCTACTAGTCTTTTGTTTCTCTCTCTGTTTCTGTTTTTTGTTCGCTTTATTTTTAAATTTTCATGGTTGTTTTTTTTTTCTCTCTTTTTAAATTTCTACTCGTTGATGTGGTGGTATGGTGGTAATGAAGAGAGGTGAAGATTCAATTGAAGAAAGGGTGGCATTAGTTTTTCTCTTTGTTTTTTGTTTTTGTTTTTATTTTTATTAATTTTGGTCCCATGTATTAGAGAGAAAGAAGAGAGGACTTTTGGACTTTGGAGTAGTAGAAGTGACAGACAGACCGGCTATAGAACACTGAAGAAGAAGAAAATATAATCAAGGAAAACTGCTCTAAATTTCCATGTTTGCTTAAATTTAAGTTTAGGGTTTTTGGCCTGATAAGATGTTTTTGAATTTTAAACTTAAATGGATGCCAACACTAAGCCAGAGCCCAGAGGAGAGGGGAGAGCGAAATTTCTTTTGTTAAAGATATGCAACGCATCGCTGCATCAGGGTGCTTGGTAATTATATCAAGTAATAAGTAGCTGCACCCATTTCGTTCAATCTTCCCGAATGCTCCATGAATAGATTACAATTTACAAATGCTTTTCATTTATTTATTTATGTTTTGTAAGGCTTAGATTTTTAGCAGGCTCCCCGCTCCCCCATGATTTATGTCTTATGAGAGATTATGACGGTCTGAAATCTGAATTCAGCTATCAAAGAAAGAAAGAAGAAAAAAAAAAATCTGAAATTGGGTCAGTCCAAATCCAACAACTGGTTCTTGCTGTCTTTGGCATCCCACATGGAGCCATGCTATGGTATAAGCCTATAAGGATATGAAAATTTGTGGTGGATAGATTTTTTGCGTGTCGTTCACGTGCCTTTCTAAAGTTTAAATGTTGGGGGTTTAGAAAATTAGAATTCAACGTGGGGGGTTAATTTGATAAAAATCTCTGGATGTCACGAAAAGGCAGAGGAGTAGAGGGAGGATGAGGAGGAGCATCTTTTCTTTGGTCGGCCATTGTCTTTTAATAATTGTCTTGATGATTCCTATTTCATTCTAGTATCTAATACAAATTTGAGACCTGACGCTCATCACTTGCATCCTTTTTTTCTTCCATATTCTTTACTTTTTTCAAAGGACAGATCTTGGTGGAATAAAATTGAAAACAAATCTCCTTTTTGAGTTGTGAGTTGTTGACAATCAAAACCACTTTTTCTTAGAAAAAATAATGGTAGTTATATTCCAATCAATACCTCATTCCTTAGTCATGACACGTGGCAAGTTCGTGCATTATTGCTGGATCCAGATCAGTGGTCTGTCGAGTGGTACGTGTTGTTGTTGGTCTGTGCATACTGCATACGCTTTCCATGTACAGATATACCATGGGACTTTTTCTGCCTGTTTGAGGGAGGGAAATACTCTAATACATGGATCATGGATGGGGGACCTGGAGAGAGAAGGGGGACAGATGCCTCGTGAGACCCAGATGATCTGTCAATGCTGGTTTGGCTTTAGCGAGGAGATTATGCTATCTCATACGGTCATACTGTTGTGTTTGTCTACAACTCCCAATATGTTTATAAGATCTCTGGTGGAGTGTGGACACATACATTTGCCGATATAAAATATAGATATATGGGAAGTGGGATTGGCAATAGTGGCAGCAGACACGTTGCCAGCTACTTGGGGGGACCTTTTGCCATGTGCTTCTTGTCCTCTCTCTCTCCCCTTTTTATTATTTTACCTTCTTTGTTTATTCTCTCTCTCTTTTGTTTTTTACATAAATATAAATATATAATTTCAAACACCAACGTGCTTTTGGGTCCAGAAGGGATCCAGTCCCTTTTACAGATGACCTCTGCCTGATATATTATCTGCTTCTGGGTCTGGCTTTGCCTTATTTTTTTCCTTCAAGAAAAAAAAAAAGAATTACACATATAATACAAGATTCAGTCTCTCAGATAATAATATTTAATTTGATAATTTGCTGTTCCTTTCTACTTTAATTTTTGTCACTTGTTGCTTTGCTATCTTATGTCTCCCTCGAAGGGTATGATAAGCGAGTGAGTCCTTCCCTGATGTATATTTTTGAATCATGTGCTGCACCTTGTCTTTTCATTTCCCCTCTTTTTAACTTTGTTTAGACTAGTCGGCCTAGTCCCTATTCTGGAATCTGGGCGAGACCCTTCATTTCAATTTTCAGCATACTGAATCGGGTGACTAATGACTAGTGATGTTGCTTCTTCAATCTTCATGCCATCTATAGCTGATGGAAGACAAATGCTTTACGTGGAGACCCTCGCCCTTCAACTCCGAAAGTCCCAAGGCAATGATTTTCTTGGACCCCCACTATGTCTGTAGTCTGTAGTGCTGTATTGCATATTTGTATTTGCATCTGTACACTCTGTAGGCCGTGGCCGCGCCGCACCGCACCGCCCCTGGCCCTAGGCTTTCTTATTTGAACAACTCAACATGTTTGTAACGCTACTTGACAAATGGCAATTGCAACTTGGTCCGAGCTGACACATGTCCAACCTGGCGCAGCCAACACTTGGGCGTTCCCGTTCCAAGGTTTTGTCAGACCGACCTAACCTACAGATGTATTACTTTTAGGCTTCCTTATCGGGAGACAAGTCGGGCCGGGCTGGCTCAACCTTGCTCAGCTACGAAGTAGGGCCTGACTGTGCCTGGCCCAAGGCTTTGTCAGGCCTTATGGTTGGGTACGATGGGATGTTTGATCTCTCTATATGTACACAAAACTTATACATTTGGAAAAGAAGAAAATAAAATAGTTGATACTTGATAGGTTAAGGGATCTGAAAGACCCAAGAGTCTTTCCCATCATGGCAGGACCCACGCGTCATCCAGCTTGGAAGGACTACAAGTGTTTTCAACTATTGATCCCTATGCCCTATTTCTTGTTTATGCCTTTGTGTGGTTTAGGTTCAACTTTCAATTGAATGGTTCCTTACCTACTATTCAATTCAGTGTTTCTTTTTTCTTCCGACCTTTTCAAATTTTGTAATGTAATTCGTATGGTATCTGTAATTTGGGTGGGGATATGAGCCGGTTGCAATAGTATCATTCGGATTTGGTATGGGTTTTTATTGATACCAGAACCCGACTTGAACCATCTGGGAAGTGGTTCCTCTAAACTTCTAGGCTGTGGTTCGTTTGAAGGAAAATGCAGGGAAACGTAGGGAAACCTTTAGGTTTGAAGGAAAATGCAGTGTAAAAATTTACACTTCTATTATTTGGTTTTATATATGGGAAAATAATGGAAAAACACTGTTCATCATCTCCTACCTTCGGATAGTGTCGTTGGAGACAGTAGTTCGTTAGTCCAAAGCCGTTGGTGAAACAATGAGAGAGGCTTGAACTAGCTACAACAGTTCGTTAGTCCTCTGTTGAACGTCTTTGCCGCTACAACTAGCTGCAGTAGTGAGAGAGAGGCTTCAGTGCGGTCTGGGAAATCCAAGTTCACCACCCTCCATCGGACTTTGTGTTTGCTGCCAGGTTGAAGACAATGAAAACATCCCTTTAGCACAATCCCTTTTCTCTCTCTAATCATCTCTTCTCTCGCCTGAACTGAGAGACCCTAGCCTTTACCTGAGAGTCTCTCTGTGCTCCCAGCACAACCTTTCAAAGGGAAACCACTGGAGCCCTCCCCCTCTTATGCTCTCTCTCTGGACTTTCTCCCTTTCTATCTCAATCTCTCGATATGCTCTCTCTCTCTCTCTCTGACTTTCTCCCTCTCTTTCTCAGTTCTCTCTCCTTAGTTCGATGGCAACAATGCTTTCTCAACTTTTTCCACCAAGAAAGGTTCAAAGTATTGTTACGTATCAGCCCGTATCGGTCGATACGTATCGTTCTGGGACCCTTCCGATACGCCCCTACAGTGGGTGTATCGAGGATCTGACCTGTTCAGGGGATGGAGGGGTCCTAGACTGGCTCCCTTGAACCAGTTTTGAAAAAAATTAAAAAGAAAAAAGTAAAAAAAAACAAGTATCAAAATGCTTGATATGCCCCCACCAGCGTATCGGGTGTATTGATATTTTGCTCCTTGCCACTAGGGTTACATGGTTTTGGTGCGACCCCAAATTCACAATTTTGGGAATTGACATCCCACATTTTCTCATCCCAACCTCTATTTCCCTCAAAACAAATGAGAGAAAAAGAAATATTTTTGTAATATTCCCTTTTTTCTCAGCACCATACCACAAGCCATATGGAGCCTTACAAACCTTGTATATCTTTCTTTGCTTTTTCCTTCAAACCAAACATAGCCTTAAGAAATCTTACAGGTATTTTTTCAATCTAAACAAGTAACAACAGCCCACTCAGAAACTATATACACAACGATATAGTAAAGAAGAGGATATTTAGATTGGTCCCATCTAATTTTCTTCAGAGGTTTAAATTTTGCAACAATGCAACTGCCACATCAGAAAAATTACATATTGCACCCTTTAGTTGCCCTAAAAGCTTGTTTACCTTCCATTAAATATCTATTTACTCTTCTACTTTCCGTTCCTTTTTTTTCCTAGAACTTTTACCTACCATTCAAGCATCTAATCCATATTGTCTTCTTGTAATCTTAAATCTTGACTTTAGCCAGGAATGGATAATGCTCTGTTTGTTTATAATATAAATCTGAACCATTGATTTTCATCATTTCTTGATAGAAATTTGTACTTTGTCTTATTTGCACTCACTGACAATGCAGTTTTTGCATTCCAAAAAATTGATACAAAGTTGTACCACTTTCCTCCTTCCTCAATTCTCTCCCATTTAAAGTGATGGCCACATCCTGAAACAGATAACGCAAGGTCGGATCAAAAACAAAATTAAACTTACAGCAGAATTTAATGTCAGCCCATTTGCCTTTCCAAGCATTTACACCAGTGCAAACGAAATACGCTCTGTGAACAAACTGAGCCATGGGCTCAATTTATTGTTATTTGTTAGTAATTGATTTGGAAAAGCAAATCTTGACTATTACTATGATTGCCATGCCGCCAATGAAACGAAATCCTTTCGTCCTTTTATTTTAAAAATTAAAACTAAAACAACTATCTTGGTGGAGTGTGGAGATGGTAATCATCCATCGACCGGCTCATGGAAAATACGACCTTGTAACCTATGTAATCATATCAGATTTAATATTCAGCAGCCAGCATCGTTATTCCTTCCATAGAACAAATTTTTTGTGGGAGTAGAATAAACCATTTGGAATGCAATGCAAGATATGGCTAGCTAATATGAATTTCATTACGGATTGAAGAAAGATGGCTTTCAAGGATTTAACCTGCGCCATCACCTTTGACCTTTCAAGTTTCAACAACACCACTCAAACTCAATATGGATAAACATAGAGATGGTAATTCTGAGTCAGTTATGGGCTAGAATATATTGGGCTCAGCCAAATGGTCCAGTCCAATCAGAGCCCAATAACAACCCAAAGTTAAGTACCCAATCCTGATGTGACATCGGTCCCATTTCACTACTCGCCACACCGACCCTCTCCTGATATTTTCTCATACAGACGAGTAGACGACAGACGGCAGAACCAGAAAAAGGGATAACTGAATAAACCATAAACAGACAACAAAGAAAAATATCTAGAAAGAATACCACATATGTGGATGATATGAACCACAAATCAATGAGTGGATATGGTCTTTTGGTACTACGGGCGATCTCCATAAGGACCATAATAATCTCACTCCCTCCATGCGACAACTTGTGATCCTTGGATAGCCTGATCTCCAAAACCCGAACTCCAAAGACACACTTCTGAGTTTCATCAACAACTTCGTACTCAATTCTTATCTTTCTATCTCTCTTCATTTACTGAATTTTCCAAAGCCAAGTCAGAAACTCACAATTTTATGGCTACAATCACAAACTTTCTCTCTAGATCACCTTCATCCCTTTCTACCTTTCCTAAAATCGACCCAGCATGTTTCCAGCCAGCCTCCTTTATTGTGTCTTCCTTCACCAAGCGCAGACCACCACCAACAAGACTAGGAATTAGTCGCACCAAATTTGTCACAGAGGCCACCGCCGTCCCCACTACCCGGAAAGTAGAGAGCGATGAAAGAGTTCAGCAGGTCCACAGTATAAAAGAATTCGACGAAGCCCTTCGTGCCGCTAAGAACAGGCTTGTAGTGGTGGAGTACGCGGCCAGTCATAGCTACCAAAGCAGTAGGATTTACCCGTTCATGGTCGATCTGAGCCGAACGTGCAGTGATGTTGTTTTCCTTCTCGTCATGGGTGACGAATCGGAAGAGACGAAGGAGCTTTGCAAGAGAGAGAAGATCGATAAGGTCCCACACTTCAGCTTCTACAAGAGCATGGAGAAGATCCATGAAGAGGAAGGGATCGGGCCGGACCAGCTAATGGGGGATGTGCTCTACTATGGTGATAACCACTCTGCTGTGGTGCAATTGCATTCCAGGGACGACGTAGAGAAGTTGATCGGAGAACACAAGGCCGATCATAAGCTGATTGTGCTCGATGTCGGGTTGAAGCATTGTGGGCCCTGTGTCAAGGTCTATCCGACGGTGCTTAAGCTATCCAGGCAGATGGCTGACACGGTTGTCTTCGCTAGGATGAACGGCGATGAGAATGATAGCTGCATGCAATTCTTGAAGGACATGGATGTGATTGAGGTGCCTACTTTTTTGTTCATCAGAGATGGTGACATCTGTGGAAGGTACGTGGGTTCGGGTAAAGGGGAGCTTATTGGAGAGATTCTTAGATACCAAGGAGTTCGGGTTACATAAAGTTGTCTTACAAAAATTACAATCAGGTGCATGATAACTGTTGAGATGCAACGATATCATTAATTTATTATAGAAAGCAATTAAGGGCCCATTTTGTAATTACTCTTAATTGTATGGTTTATTGTGGAATGGAATGCGTGAGGTGAGGAATTAATGGGTTAAAAAAAAAAAAAAAACTTGAATGAATTGCTTTAAGTTGAGTTGCTTGAGTCTGTTCAAGTTATGCCTCTCCCTCGCTAATTTTTTAATCACTTATTTAAGTTTTAACCTAAACCGAAAGGTTGTTTAAAACGGTATTGACGGGTCAACAACCGGTTCTGAATCAGGAGTACTGCATCATTTGTAAATCCTCTCACTTGGTTGTGCTTACTGCTTAGCTCTAAACTTTAGTTTTGGGTAGTTAATGTTGCTTTTGTTTAATTATCAAAGAAGAAGAAGAACCAAAAAGGAGCCCTCAACGGTCCCAACCTCATTGGGTCGATTTAGGGGTCACAACCTAATTGTATTGGATTGTCTCCTCTGGGTTTCTATGGGAAGCATGGTAATCTCTAATCGGAACTTTTCTAGCCCGATTGGTAAGGTGTAAGGTAGTTTGTTAGAAACCCTTTGGCATCAAATCCAATTACAGAGCAGAGACAATAAGAGAGAAAGAAATGGTTGGGCCGGAGAAAGTTCTTAATGAATTTAACCAAACATAGTTGAGACATTGTCAATAAAACCCTTGCTTGGTGTTTAAGAATCTTCATCCAAGAATGTTCCGAGTACATTAATTATTAATCAAACCAAAATCATTGTTTATGGACATTTGGAATTAGTGCGGATTATTAATATAAGCAATAGATGGATATTTTGGATTTGGAATGTGGTAGCAGATTCCTTGTTCATAGACATGATAACAGATTTATAGTCATATCATATTATCCATGACCATGACTACCAGTAGCAGCGACCCCATAACAACTTATTCATGACTACCAGCTTTATAGCAGAACAAAAGGATAAGGAATATATGATGCTCCACAACCACATCTATATGAGTCATGACTACCACTCCAAAAGTAGCAACCGGTCTGTGCATGTAAGGACTCGGTGAAGGGGCCATTCCTTGCACCCGAAAGCCTGAAACAATGAAAAAGAACCACAACCTCCCTGTCCCTGAATTCACATCTCCTTGGTTACTTTAAGTAATTAATCTCGAAAGCTTTAAATCGCAAGAAGCGAACCCTTTTCACCTTTTGCTTGGAAAATGAATCACAATCAACTTGTATATAACAAGTCAGAGTAGGGTAGCACAGGGGCAGAGAAGCGGAGATGGAGTCGAAATTTACAGAAGAGAAGGAATCATTCGTTAAGAGGTGATGGTGCGCAATCCGGCTGAGTCCTACCTGTCAACGACCTTGCCTCTGACCGGAGCTACAGGGAGCCTGAAACAGAGAAGATGAGGAAGCTCCGGGGGGAACCCGGTATGAATGCTCTGAAGCTCAAGTTA